CTCCCACCCCCACCCACACCCGCTCACACCCACACCACACCACACCACACACCAACATCTCACACCCACACCACACCACACACACACCAACATCTCACTCACACCCACACCCACTCACACCCACACCACACCACACCACACCACACATCAACATAACACACACACCACACACACACCAACATCACACACACACACCACACACCATCACACACCACACACACACCAACATCACACACACACCAACATCTCTCTCACACTCACACCCACACCACACCACACACACACCAACATCACACCCACACCACACACACACCAACATCTCTCTCCCACTCACACCCACACCACACCACACCACACATCAACATAACACACACACCACACACACACCAACATCACACACACACCAACATCACACACCACACACAGAGACACACCACACACAGAGACACACCACACACACACATGTAATACCCATGTCATACATTTGTCATTATACAAATTTATGTCCTCATTTGTCACAAAAACGCGCGCGCGCACACACACACGCGCGCGCTCGTGCTATTTCAAATGACGTCACACATTTAACGGTATTCATTTAACTGACGAGTAAAATATACCATAACTAGCAGTAAAAAAAGTTTAAAAATCATTGTTCGTGTAAATACTAGATATCTGTACTGGAAAAGACTGCAGGGCAATTGAATGAGTTTCATGAAAGCGGCAGTTTTTGAGGAAAACGAACATTTCCCTCAGACTGTCCTAGCCTACAATTAGATTTTATATTTACTTTCTTCATATTTACATTTCATTGATATTGGTAATGGTTTACGTTTTAAAAGTAAGTGAAAAGTAGGCTACTTACTACAGGAAACCTGGCAGCTGACGGCGAGTCACTCAGAGGGGAAGTCCGTAATGCGCGCACCGGACACAAGCCTCAGTTTATATAACCTCTGCAGGTTGTTGCGCAGGCTTTGCGCGCGAATAAAATGTAAAACGAACATTTCCCTCAGACTGTCCTAGCCTATAATTAGATTTTATATTTACTTTCTTCATATTTACATTTCATTGATAATGGTAATGGTTTACGTTTTAAAAGTAAGTGAAAAGTAGGCTACTTACTACAGGAAACCTGGCAGCTGACGGCGAGTCACTCAGAGGGGAAGTCCGTAATGCGCGCACCGGACACAAGCCTCAGTTTATATAACCTCTGCAGGTTGTTGCGCAGGCTTTGCGCGCGAATAAAATGTAAATTTTGTGGGGTGTAAGCAAAGTTGATATATTTTATTTTTTAATCATTTTAAAAATACATTTATTTCACCACACTTGTGCTTACCCAGACATTAAATTGAGAATGCAGATTCATGTTTTTCATCAGCAGAACTACACTACTGCTTTTGAGCAAACAGTAAAGTACCGCAGATTCCCATATACAGTGAATTACTGTAAATGGCATAAAATACCCATAATGCAGTGCATATTACAGTAGTTAACCGTAAAACACTATGCTCATGATATGACTGCTTTTAAAGGGGTCATATGATGCTTTTTTAAAGATCATTATTTTGTGTATTTGGTGTAACAGAATATGTTGACATGCTTTAATGTTCAAAAAACACATTATTTTTCAAATACTGTACATTATTGTAGGCCCTTGCACATTTGGGCACATTATGCTAATATTTCCACATAATGAGGTAGATATGTGGGGGCGTGTTAGAACGAGCCATTTTAGGGGGGCGTGGCAGAGTCTTAACTTTGATAAAGAATATCTCTTTGGTTTTGAGACTTTAGTCTTTGTAACTTCAGGGATCTTATCTATGCACAATCAGCTTGTAACACTCCAAAGAGAAAGGAAAACTTGAAATCGCATCATATGACCCCTTTAAGAGCTGTGGTTAAGTTAGAATGGTCACTATTGTAATTGTCTTGTTTTCTGTATTTCCCTCCCCTCATTTTCCATCAGCCACCACCACAAATGGTCCAGGCTCTAACAGTTCGTCGCAACTTAAATGAGTCTGAGAGGAAGAGGCTGGATGATGTTATGAACCAAGGGTTTGACCAGTTTGTCCATGTTTATGCAGTTAATTAAACCACTTTATTTATTCTTTGATTTAATTAATATTTGAAGTATTCTGTAATTATACAAAAAAAGATTTAAATATATTTATTTAAATACATTGCCTTAATAAAACAATATTTAATTTCAATTTGACATTTTCTTAGTAATAAATAAATATAAAATAATAAAAATAAATCAACTTTAAGCTGACTTAATTATTTTTACATTTTAACTGGTTTTTTTACATTCTTTTTCTGATAAAATTATATTTTTATGTAATTAAATTCATCTTTATATAATATATATACATAATTATATAATTTCAATGTGCCTTTCAAGTACTGTGAAGTAAACCAATTTATTTATTACTGAAGTTATCATACAGACAGTTTTATACTGATTACTAATATAAATACATTTTTATATTACTATTATTTTTTTATCATAATTTTTTACAATAACTCAATTATCAATTTAGCAATTTTTGTTGTGGCTATTTACATTTTTACTTATAAAATTATGATATTTTTAATGTTATCATTCAAGCACTACCAAGTAAACCACTTTATTTTTGACAAATTTACACTCTTTTAATTGGAAATTGCACTTTTGTGTTCACCTTTTCTAATTTTTTCTTCCCAAAAACAGTCTGTCCCAAGATCATTACGAGGTCTCAATGGGGGGCTGCAGCTTACATTGGTTCTCCCTCCTATCTGTCTCTCCCTGTGCCGTATCTTTTCATCCACCACACATATCAACCCTCCAGGCCTTGCACCACCTTTGACCAATGTGCCAGTGAAATGCGCTCCATGCAGTGCTACCACCAGCAAACCAATGGATGGTCTGACATCGGATACAGTTTGTTAGACAATGTTCTGCAGCATAAAGCCCTTTGATCTGTGTTTCATGTGCTGTACAGAGTTATTGCAGTTGAATAACTATTGTTGTTTGTCCTCCTGTAGTTTTGTTACAGGTTCTGATGGAAACCTGTACAAAGGCCATGGCTGGAATTGGGTCGGAGCCCACGCTTACGGGTACAACTCTATAAGCTATGGCGTCTGCTTCATTGGTGATTATACCTCCACCCTCCCCGTCAAGAGTGCGATGGACATGGTGCAGTACGACTTCACAAGCTGCGCTATAAGCGCAGGCCGACTGTCCTCATATTACAACTTATACGGACACAGGCAGGCCGATGCCACAGAATGCCCAGGAAACACCTTATACCATGAAATCCAGAAATGGGAGCATTGGGAGGTATAAAGATAACAGATGATTTATTGTACTTATGGGGTTCACATGTAACATTTCAGACCTTAACTGTGTGTCTGTGTGTGTTTCTCTGATTTTCTCTACAGAGCTATTTGCCTTGATGACTGTGGCAGCAACAATGAACACAATCCACTAATTGTGTCTCTGGAAAACAGTACATGTATTACATGTATTACTAGTAATAAAAGCATAATCAATTCCTTCTAAAAACCATATCTATTGTTTTTTTGTTTGTGTTTTACACATGACATTAGAAATGGGCAAAAATCGAATTTGCCTTTACTTTTGGTCAAAAGCAAGTTCCTTTACAAAATGATAATGTTCAATTACATTATTTTGATCGCACACATTGCCTATTTTACATTGTTAGAATATAATACAATCAGCAAATCTAGCTAAAACGATTTTGTATATTTACAAAACTAATGCTGTGGTTAGAATTAAAAGAGTGTTTTAAATAATTCACCTTAAATGTAGCTTAATTTTCATTATATATATATTTTAATATTTGTTAATTAAATAATTGCATAGCTTTAAAAGTTCTAAGGCGTTTTCTTGCTAAAATATGAGTAGTTACACTATTTGCGCATATTAACAATTAAGACATCTATGACCAGTATGACTGAACATTACTAGTGTTTAGACATATAGACACACACACACAAATAGATAGATAGACAGACAGACTGTACAGAAGTGGTATTAGTAGCTATTATTCTAGATATTATGCAGGTGACTGATTATTACATTTATTCATATAGCAGCTTTATAACAGCTGACTTAAAAATCTTATACGCATCAACGCCGTTGTTACCGCACTGACCAGGTGCCGTTCATCTCTAGACCTGCTGTGAAAGAGTTACAGCGTGGCTGATACATAAACTCTTTCCCCTCCCCACCAACGTCACCATCCCTCCGAAACTAACAACATGGAGTCCGGTGTTTAGAGTGCAAAGGCAGTCTTTACCGTTAGCTGCACCTATATGCTTTTCCCGGTGCTCCTGAGGGAAGGCAGCGACGCTCCGGGACGCAAAAAGCGCAACGCACACATGCTCTATAAGCGCCCGTGCGTTCGTGCCACTTGAATCCATATAGGACATGGAGAGAGCGATGTGATTGGACGCAGAAGATTCCAAAGACAGGCCGCTTTCCGTGAGTGTTGCCCAATTCCATCCTCGCCGCACACATCCAGAAAGATGTTTAACAGATTGTGTTCCTGGAGAAGGACAGCGTTTGCAGATAGTCCTGAGATCGCAAGTTAGAAATGCATGAAAACTGCATGGACGAGCCCATTTATTAAGGGAGCCGGTATATTTTTTTTCCTCCAGTAAAAACGGCCATATTATCAACATAGAAAATGAGGCATGATAAAATAGGTCAGACAGAGTGACACGTCTCAGGAATTAAACACAAAGATTTAGTTATTCAAATGCACTCTTTCAAAGCTCGGACAGCACAGAGCACTATAATGTATCATCAAATTAACCTCTTGAGCTTATAAACATCTTTCAAATGCTCTTCTATAGGTTTTCTTTAAAGACCCCATAATATTTTGACTTTTGAGGCTTCAGGTCCATATCTATGATTGCAGTTATTAGAATTGCTCTTCATAATGTAGGACAGGAGAAGTGGACAGCAGTTGCACCCAAGCTAGTGCACCAGGGGACCATGGAGCCTGAGGATGATCTCTTGACCAGGGACCCTCAAGATCTGATGTCCAGCCAAGGGCTTCTGCCTTCAGCGTCCACCTCCTTACTCAGCTGCACCTTCCTGGTATATTCAACGCACCTACACTCTTAAAAATAAAGGTGCTTCAAAAGGTTCTTCTAGCGATGCCATAGAAGAACCATTTTTGGTTCCACAAAGAACCATTCAGTCAAAGGTTCTTTAAAGAACCATCTCTTTATTACCTTTTTATAATCTCAAGAACCTTTATTCGCCACAAAGAAGCTTTTGTGAAACAGAAAGGTTCTTCAGATGTTAAAGGTTCTTTATGGAACCATTTAGACAAAAAGGTTCTTCTATGGCATCGTGAAGAACCTTTATTTTTAAGAGTGTACCAGTTCGCCTATTTATACTGTGCCCTAAAAATATGTATTCTTTTTGTGAAGAAAAATGACTTACTTTTAAGTGTGTAGCATAAGAGTAGACAAGCTTTGGGACATACTAGTTTATCATAATTTTGTTACTTAGTTACATGCATCCTGTCACTGTTTAAACTGCCCTGTCAATTATCTTCTCACATTTAACATCTTCCACATCACTTTTCATTTAATTTCCTAACTTATTAGAATTGAAGCAGCATGGTGATCTACCAGTCGCAGGTCTGTCATGCCGAGAACGCGAGGTGTTTGCATAATGAATCATTTAAAAGCAAATGAGCAAATTTATCTTTCTAAAAGTTCAAAATGTTGTTGCAGATGCAATGTAATGTGGATAACATTATATAATTTTTTTAATCAGGTTAGATATTGATCATATTGATATTGATTAAACGTCAATGTCCCATTTCCTCCATGTTTTTATTTTTATTTAATTTTTTCTACACTTTTTATTTGTGTTTGTAGTACCTTTGGTATACTTATTTCAACATACTACAATTTGTGACACACAATTTTATTTTTGAATACTATTTAGGAAGGATAGTAGTGTGCAAATTGGGACACAGTTTTTAATTCCCCCTTTTCTCTTCGGAATAATTGATTCACTTTTCCAATGAAAGGAGAAAATAGATTTTTTTAACCGATACTCTATGAATATAAAAAATATGTGGGAGTCATTGCTTTGATACAGTTTAATACTTTTTAATTACAATTATCTTTACACTGTCATTATATATACAGAGTTCTGGCATGAAACTCTAGATGGCGCAGTCCGATAGGTCTAACTCAATCTGACCTAATGACATCATTATCACATGGCACAGCTGATTGGTTCTCTCCTGTATCGGTAGCCAATGAGCTCGCTGCTCAACATTCAAATATATGACTAGGGCTTGCCGTAGCAGTTGCAGCTTGCTTCAGAAACCCTTCACCTTCCCCAGCTCCACCTGTATAGATCTGCTACAAGGTGATTCGTGATTCGAGACCAAATACATTAACATTGTCATGTACATTACCATGCCAATCCCTCCGAGAGTTGTCATGACAGAAATATCTTTTAACAATCAGTGTACACCTGTGTGAGAATCTTGCAAAATTTTATTTCTATCCTAAACAGAATTATGTAATGTTGGACTTGTTTCAAACCTCTGAACTCACAGGGGGGGTTATTGCATTGTGATGACACAATGGAGAAGGGTGATGGAAATGGAGATTCAGACGGTCCAAAATGCTTTTTCCCCACACTGGAGCATTGTGGTAAAGTACAGAGAAGTCCACGATCTTCAGCCTTCCCCTCATCTCTGACATGGGACTCGGACTCTGAGAAAGAAACCTTGGACGGTAATTGTTTCTCTGGTTCATTCTTACTTTCAAGTCAGTGAAAAACACATGCATGTCTGAATCATACACTATCAGAAAAAAAGGTACAAAAGCTGTAGGTACACTTTTGCTCCTTTTAGTTACTAATATGCACCCTTTAGGTACAAATGTGTACCTTTTGAAAAGGTACCATCCCACTGACCGCTTTTGTACCTTTTTTCCTAAAAGTGTATGAAATCCTGACTGTAAATGAGCATCTGAAATGATCCAGCTAGTTTCAGACTGAGCTATTCTGTGTTTGTACTGTGAAATGTGTCTCTGTGAACAGTGTTAATGGTTTTGTTTGTCTACATGCTGTAGATATAACTGTGAGTCTACTGCTTTCTGTTAAGTCATGTGTATAATGTTTGTGTTCCTGTGTGGATTCCAATGGTTTATGTCAGAGGAAGAACTTCAGCACTTTTGTAACCCTCATGGTCTGGCTGCTCACAGCCCAGGAAGTCCCAGCTCTGGACAACAAGACGACAGGTAAGATACAGATGAATATACGGAACAACAGGTTTATAGAAAAGTGCATACATAGAGTTGAGGGGTTTGATAGAGATAAATATTAAGCTTTAAAGTATTTATCCATTTTAATCCTTATGCTTGCAGATTTGACATTGATCCATGCCAAGAACCTGTGGAAACCAAGCACTTATTTCTTGAAAACATCCCACTTGCCCCCCTGGAGGTAGAGAATCAAGGAGATATTACATACAAGGAGCCGGAAACTACAGACTCTAGCCTACCAAAACATACAGCAAAACGTAAAAAAAACTTGCAATTGATTCAATAACACTATCATATAAAAAACTACTTAAGTCAATAAAACCTTTTGCTGTTTACTTGCAGTGGAACAAGACAAAGTGAGTCATCTACCAGATACTACACCAAAAGAGGGATGCCAAAAAGAAGAGAAAAATGAGCGGCAATTGCTTAATAGTAGAGGGTGGGAAGAAAAGAACACCAAAGAGCCAGATGTATACACCTTCCCAGGAGACTCTGAGCCAGAGAGTCCACCGCCTGGACCTTGGGCGCAATGCACCTTCATCCAGCGCCGAAGAAAAAAGAGGGCCATATTGAGGCCTTTCTCTGGCTTAGACACTTGGCAACGCACAACGGGAGCCGGCAGAAGGACCAGAGGAAAACCCTCTGGAGCACAGGAGCGTAGGAAAACCACAAAGGTTGGGGAAAGAATGTTCAAACGTAAAGAGGAAAAGGAAGAGAAGGTACGAGGAAGGCAGAGGTCAGTAGTAGATCACCAACTGGATGGAGACCTCTCCCAAAATATTTTTACATGTGTAGAATGTAGCATTTACTTCAAGAAACGTGTCCATCTGCGCGAACACATGCGAGAGCATGGCCAAGTTGGCGAATCTGGGAAGAAATGGCAATGTGGAAAGAAAGACTCTTGGAGTGGACATCTTAATAAAAATGCTTTTGAATGCATAGAGTGTGGTCTGGAGTTTGTAGACAAGGTACTGCTGCTAGATCATCAACAATGCCACGAGGAGTCACGGCAGAAAATCGTTAAAGAGGTTGGAAAATTAAATGAAGGGGACAAGGGGGTGGCAGATCAAGCCAGTTGCAGTAAGGCATTGGAGCCAGTCATCCAAGAGTCAACAGAGGTCAACCAGTTTGTGTGTCTTAAGTGCAACTTTAGCTCTGATTTGCCTCAAGGACTTGCTGAG